GAAAAGGAAACAAATGGTTTGTATGATTAAAATGGTTTGTTTCTTAATTGGAAATTATATAAATTACGAAACTGTAAATTTAATGCATTGATTAAAAAATTTACACCTTAACGTGACTATTACCTTTTATGGACAAATATTATTTTTAGTTGAATGGTAATCATTTTTTTATTATATCATTTCCAATTTTATAAAAAAGTTTGGTATTAGAAAAGAAGTTTATATAAATAATATTTTTTATGTTTTGTTTCCTTTTTAGAAATATATTAGGCATGCAAAATTTCCTTTAATTTATCATTCTAAATAAGAATAGAGTAATTAAGTAATTATGCATGTAAAATTATTCTAAAAAGGAAACAACATAGATCTTGTTTGCAAAATTAGTCCCTTCCTTTTTATGAGAATTAAGTAATTATGCATGCGAAATTTCCTTTAATTTATCATTCTATTAAAAGTATATTAGACATTAGACAGAATACGCTAGAGTTATCGGAAGTCTGATGTATCTGATGAGCTGCACACAACCAGACTTAGCTTGCGCCATTAGCAAACTAAGTAGGTATACCAGTAATCCGAGCACTGAGCACGGGAAGGCCATAGTCCGAGTGATGAGATACCTTCGGTACACTCGAGATTATAACTTATGCTATGGCAGATATCCACCTGTGCTGGAAGGATACACTGATGCCAATTGGATTGCAGATAATAAGGATTCAAAATCCAGAAGTGGATTTATCTTTATGTTAGCTGGTGCAGCTGTATCCTGGAAATCCTCAAAACAAACGTTAATTGCCAGATCCACCATGGAGTCTGAGTTTATAGCACTAGATAAGTGCGCAGAACATGCCGAGTGGCCTCGGAACTTACTTAAGGATACTCCAAACTGGGAAAAACCAGTTTCTCCTATTTGCGTCTATTATGACTGTCAATCAGCAATAGGACGAGCTCGGAACAAATTGTATAATGGTAAGTCTAGACACATTCGCCGTAGACACAAAACCATTAGGCAACTTCTCAATACGGGTATTATCTCAATTGACTATGTCAAGTTAAAGGATAACTTAGCGGATCCATTAACATGAGAAGTTAGTGGTAGGAATGGGTCTGAAATTATTAATTGGAAATACGGGTATTATCAAAATGGTTTGTTTCTTAATTGGAAATTATATAAATTACGAAACTGTAAATTTAATGCATTGATTAAAAAATTTACACCTTAACGTGACTATTGCCTTTTATGGACAAATATTATTTTTAGTTGAATGGTAATCATTTTTTTATTATATCATTTCCAATTTTATAAAAAAGTTTGGTATTAGAAAAGAAGTTTATATAAATAATATTTTTTATGTTTTGTTTCCTTTTTAGAAATATATTAGGCATGCAAAATTTCCTTTAATTTATCATTCTAAATAAGAATAGAGTAATTAAGTAATTATGCATGTAAAATTATTCTAAAAAGGAAACAACGTAGATCTTGTTTGCGAAATTAGTCCCTTCCTTTTTATCAGAATTAAGTAATTATGCATGCGAAATTTCCTTTAATTTATCATTCTATTAAAAGTATATCATTTTAAGAATAGAGTGATTAAGTAAATAATTACCTATTTAATTAGGCATAAATAATTACTTTTTGATAAAATAATCAGGC